ATAAACATACTGAGGTAACCCAGACCCAGAAAGACAAATATAATATATACTCACTCACAAGTGGATTTTAGACATAAAGCAAAGAAAAACCAGGCTACGGTCCACAACCCCAGAGAAGCTAGACAACAAAGAGGATCCTAAAATTGCCATACATGGATTTACAGGAAGGAGAAAAAGACAAGAACTCCTGAGTAAGTTGGGAGTATGGGGGCAAAAGGGAAGATGGAAGGGGAGAGGGAAGGAAGGAAGAAAGGGAGTTTTTATAATTTAATAAAATTTAAAAAAGAATTCGCAGTGGATCAAAAATATGAACTTTCAAAACAGAGGAATTTGAACAGTAGCCATCCTTTGGGCTTAATAAATGAGATAACTTGAGGAAAGTTTCTAGAAATTTCAGTTTCTTGGGCTGAAGGAGATGAAGCAACGTCCACTTTAACAGGAATCAAACAGTTGTACCCCCTTTGTTTTTTTGTACTTTTCTTTGAATGCAGTTTATTTCTCATATGTTTCTTTTAAAATGTGTTCCCTTCTGTTGCAGAAAGAAGGTTCTCTGATGATGGTGGATGAAGGCACTTATCTATGAGTATAGAAGAATATTGTTAGGAGTCATTTTATGGCTAGATTCCTTTAGCAGAATGTTTATGGGTGAGGATACAGGTCAAAAAATCCCAAGCTAACTCCAAAATATTTTAATATCATATTTTCTTTATTATAAGGGGAAAACTCACAAAATAGGAATGTTAAGTCCAACCTCAGCTGTGTTGCCAGAAGCAAAGACCTGTATTTTGAGATCTTATTTTGTTTACAGCCATCTTAAGTTTACAAACTAAGTAAAATATTCACCTCTATCACCTCTTCAAGGTAAATTCTGGGCCTAGGAAATTAATCTCATATCTTATCTCCTAGTGACACAACAGGCTTCAGACTTTAGAAGCAATTAGCACCTCCTTTGTTAGTTAGTATCTCTTTCTCTGAGCCAGAGACCTTCCAGACCTGAATTCGAGAAGGTCAGACTTTTCTGACACCCTCCCTTCTGCCTGTTTGCTATATAATATCTCATGAGAAAAAATAAAATTGGCAGCTTGATCAGAAAGCCTGTTATGCTGTCATTTCTCGTGTCTCTTGTCCCTTCCATTCCTCTTTCTCCTCCAGGTTTACCACTGGCCCAGATACTGTGTAGCGCAAGAATCATCTCATGCAAGCCCTGGGCGGGTTGGCAATTTTCCCTGGGTACCTAAAAGGTCATACCCTAACCTGGTCCAACCTCTTAAAAATTATTGACTGACAAAGGTTCCCCATCACCTCCCCCCTTTTGTTTAAATAAGAAACTTTTAAAGCCAATACATAACTATATACACTAGGAACAGATATCAAGTATAAGACTAGAATTACAGGCAGCAGAAACAATATTAAGAAAGGAACAGATGCAAATGTTTCAATAAACATTTTATCCAAAAATTCCAAGTCTTATATGGGAAATGGCTTGGTTAAACTGTAAGAAGAAGGTAACAATGATTATCTATCGTAGGGCAAAATAGAGCTAGGCGGGGAAAACTGAACTAAGGGCTGGGAGAAAGAAGGTGGAGTCAAGGAGAAGCCATGTAGCCCCACCAGAGACAGATGCCTCATGGAACCTTGCCAGTAAGCCACAGCCATGTGATGATACACCGATTAATAGACATGGATTAAATTAAAATGTTAGATCTAGCCAATAAGAAGCTAGAGCTAGTAGGCCAAACAGTAATTTATGTTGGGGCATAGGACCCCAACACTTGCTCACCCACGTTCATTGTTCATAATAGCCAGAAATTACAAACAACTTAGATGTCCTACAATAGAAGAATGCATAAAGAAAATATGGTGTATTTATAAAATGGATACATTTTTAATAACTGAGTACATTTATAAAACTACAACCCCCCATTGTGCAATTAGTTAGGCATTAAAAAAATAGCATCATAAAGTTTTAGGTAAATGGATAGAAGTAAAACATATCATCCTAAAGTAACAAAGATCCAGAAATACAAATATGGTATGTTTTCACTTACATGTGGATATTAACTGTTAAGTCAATGATAACCAAGCTAAAATACATAGAACTATAGAGGTTCAGTATATATTAGGGCACTAGGGGGACAAATAGATCTCCCTAGGAAAAAGAAATAGTTATGGATATATAGGAGTGGGGACTGGAATGACAGGATCAAGTGTAGAGAAAAAGTAGGAAGAGGGTGATGAGACAGCGAATATGCAGAAGAGATAGCAATGGTTGTGATCCATTTGAGACAGTGTGGAAACCTAGTGCAGTATAAGTATTTTAAAATACAAACCTTTATGAAGCCTATCTTAATGAAATCACCAAATAATGGAAAAGACTGATCTCTAACCCAACATCACCTGACCAAATGAAGCTTCCAGTACTGAGAGTGAGTTTATCTTACTGAGTCTTTGTCCAAACGTGTCCCACAGGAATCCCCAAACAACCTAGGCTGTTGCCAAGACTATAGGTTGCTCTCTAAAAACTAATAGCAAGACCTCATTGCTGAAGGTAACACCTACACAATCACATAGAATAGGCAATCTGGTGACAATACGAAGCTTTTCACACCTTTGTGCTACAGTCTTTAGTATAGAAAAGTACTCTCTAGGCTACCAAAGGAGAAAGGTCAACACTAACCCAGCCCCAAACCCTTTGATCTATAATGGTATCCTGTCTGCAAGATGTGCTAGGGCAGTGGTGGCACAGAGTTTGTGGGAATAAACATCAGTATTTGATTTGACTGAAGGCCCCTTCTAAGAGGTGGAGCCCATACCTGACACTGCTTGTGTGACCAAGAACCTGAGAATTATATTACCCAGGGACATAGGATAAACCCTATCCTGCCATCCTAAACACCCCCCCACACACACACATACACACGCACACACGCACACAAGCATGCACACACACAAATACAAACAAAATAGTAGCAATAAAATGACTTCTAATGACATTCTTTCATATTCATAGATTAACATCTTGCCTAACCATCATCAGAGAAGCTTCTTCCTGGAGTAGATAGGAACAAATACAGGCACTGTGCAGAGAGTGAAAGACCTTGCAACACTCAGCTCTAAATGCAATGTCTCCAACAAACCTCTCCCTATTGGGGCTCAGGAAAGCCCATGAAAGAGGAGGAGGAAAAAAAGTATAAAAATAATATTAATTAAAATAATAATACTAAAGCAGAAACAGAAATAAATTGATGTATGAGGAAAATGCTTCTGAGATAAACAGCCAAAAAATTAAAAAGAATACCTATGTAACTCTAACTGGGACCTTACAGTGAATTTTCAATATCTTGGTAAATAAACTGAGATAAGAATTTAACAACGCTTTAAGCCAACACCAAAGTCAGGTCTGTGAAAGTTTGTTTGTTTTCCACTTTGAAAATGTAGCTAAGGTAAAGGACACCAAACTAGATTTGATGATTTCATATTGTATTCACAAACCTACAAATAAAAATGACAAATTATACCAACAACAACAAAAAAAACATAGGTCATTTGAAAGATGAACATTCCTAATATGACAGCTTCATTAAAATTAGAAAACCTTAAAATTTTCATCTGTATTTTACCTTCAAATATATGATTCATTTTGTGAGTGTGTTCATGTGCATGTGTGTGTCTGTGTGTTGTGGTAAGTATTTGTACATGTTCATGTGTACATATCCACGTATAAGAGAAACCCACCTGTCTTGTGTATGTAATGTCAAAGTGCAATGTTAGTTGTTGATCCTTTCAATCTTCTTTAGTTGAGTCAGGGTCTTCCCTTGTCACCATTGAATGTGTCAGACTACCAGGGACTCTCCTGTCTCCACCTTCCATCTCACAATAAAAGTGCTAAGACTACAGAGGCGTGGTATCATATCTGGATTTACATCGATTATAGTGATCCAAATATAGGTTCACATACTTGAGTGGTAAGATACACAGACCTCATCCTGCTGATTTTTTTAAATTTATTTTTGTTAAACTCTTTTATCAAGTGCTGAGATATTTTTCTGGCTTTATTTAGAAGGCAATACAATTGATTTTAAGCAAAGAAACTGAGTTTTTATTTACATCGCTTTCTCTTCTTTATCATTGTTTGATGAATGAATTTGTGAGCCAGAATGTATGTTCTGCCATAGAAAAAACTAATTTGTCTTCACCCTACACTCAATTCAAAATTTTTATTATGATATTGGTTTCTATTCAAGAGAGGGAGAGAAGAGAGCAAATAAGGATTAAGAATATGCTTTAAGGCACTATCACATATTACACATACATTCAAAAAAACCCAAATGTTATTGTTTTTAACATTAACTAACAGTATATAAATATTCAAATAGTATTCAGATTTAAGAACATTTTGAAATTATAATTTAATAATTTAAAACTAATTCTTACTAAAATCTACATTATACATATAAAATGTTTTAAAATACTAATCTATGACTAGCAAATGGCTTAGGGGTTAAGGACTGACAATCTGAGTTCAACCCCCATAGTCAATGAGGCTGGAGTGAGAAAACTGACTTTGAGAACTATCTTGTGTTGTCCTTCTACCTATGTGCTGCTTTTATTGGTTAATGAATAAATCTTTATCAGTCAGGGGCTTAGTAGAATAGAACTAGGCGGGAAAACTAGACTGAATGCTGGAAGAGAAAATGCAGAGTCAGGAGAAGCCATGTAGCCCCACCAAAGACAGACACTGGACAGAACTTTACCCGGGAAGATACAGCCATGTAATGATAAACAGATTAATAGAGAGAAGATATAAAAGTAAGCCAGAAATATGCTTAAGCTACTGACCAAATAATATCGCAAATAATATGGTTTCGGAGTGATTATTTCAGCTGAGAACAACCAAGCAGCCTCTGACTACAACGACCCATGCATGAACTATGGCAGGAACATATGTTGTCCACATAATAAAACTATGAAAAAAATCATAATCCATAAAACATGATCAGAAACGTTTTATAAGAGTATTCTTTATTATGAAAATAAAAATCCACACTGATATTTTCTGTTATATTTTCTCTTCTGAGTTATAGCCTGGCCTCAAATCTTAAGAACTCCTCAAAGAACTCCTCAAAGAATAGACTGCTGTCCTTAGAATTCGGATCCTCAGAAGTTCTCCAACCCTGCAGGTTTAAACCAAAAAGCATCAGTCAATTTTCACATAAAACTAGTTAACAGATTTTCATCCTACACGTTCAGTTCATGAAGTGTGAGTGCAGTGATTATTTCTTGCTTCACACTCTCCTTTGCCTGTTGTGGCTATGGATGGATTCACCCTTTCCTCAAGGTCACAAGAAGGTGACATAGGGATGAATACTTTGCATTTATAAAGTTAAAATCTTCCTTTTTGTTTAGACAGAAAAGGAGAGGCGATGTGGAATTCCCTTCTGTATGCTGTATTCATGTTTTATTGCTATTGATTAATAAAAAAAAATCTGATTTGGTCTAAAGCAGGGCACAATATAATCAGGTGGGAAATCTGATATGGAGAAAGTAGATGGAGGAAGAAAGACACCATGTAGCCACTGAAGGGGACAGATGCCTGCTGGAGCTTGTGAGAACCTTGCAGGTAGGCACAACCTTGTGGTGATTCACAGATTAATAGAGATGGGTTACTTTAAGATATAAGAGCTAGCTAGAAATATGTGTAAGTTAATAGGCCAAGCAGTGTTTTAATTAATACAGTTTCTATGTGATGATTTTGGGTTTGGGTGGCAAGGAAATGAATGAGCAGCCTCTGTCTACATGAAGGTTACTATTTCTCCAAACAAAACAGCAGAGAAAACTGGCTTCTGTGTTCTTGCTATGAAAAGTCTTTTTTTTTTTTGATTTTTCAAGACATGGTTTCTCTGTAGCTTTGAAGCCTGTCCTGGAACTAGCTTTTGTAGACCAGGCTGACCTCGAACTCACAGAGATCTATCTATCTCTGCCTCCCAAGTGTTGGGCTTAAAGACGTGGACCACCACTGCCTAGCTGAAAAATCATTTTTTATCTAATATCTGGAAAATATAGCTAAATAATGTATAATAACATATGAAAAATTAAAATCTCTTTTGTTAAATAATGTACAATAACATGAAAAATTGAAATCTCTTTAGAATCACATTTTAACTTTAGAAGAATTCCAGACATTAACTTCTATATTTAAGTGCAAATTTTTCTTCCCAAGAAGTAGTTATGATTAATTATAAATTGAAGAATAAAGGAAGAAAACAGGCAATTGATTTACGTGATCAGGCCCTGTTCATAAAATTCAGATGTTTGAGAAACACTTAAAAGGAATGTTCAACATACTTAACCATTAGGGAAATGAAAATCAAAACTACTACTAGGTTTCATCTTATACCAGAACAGCTAAAGTCAATAACTCAAGTGACAATACATGCTCTTGAGGATGTGGAACACTCCTCCATTGCTAGTGGGAGCATAACCTGGGAAACCGTATGGTGGTTACTCAGAAAGATAAGAATCAATTTACCTCAATATCCAGATATACCATTCTTGGGCATATGCCCAAAAGACACATCATCCTACCATGAGGAAATTTCCTCAACCACGTTAACTGCTGCTTTAGTAATAATAGTTAGAAACTAGAAAGAACCTGGATGTCTTCAACAAAGGAATGGGTAAAGAATGATTATTAGCCATTAAATAAATGATAATCAACTTACAATCTACAGACCCAGAGAAGCTATGTATAGAGGAAGGGAAATGGTTGAACACATTGAGCACCCAGGGGCAGGGGAAACGGAATAGTTTTTATGGTTGAACTGGGGGTGGTGGGTAGGGAGAAGAACAGGAAGATCAAGTGGGGAGTTTCATTTGCATTTTTAATAAAAAAAAGAGAGGAAATCAGCCACACTGATCAGCCTTACAGACCAGACGGTGGTGACAGAACTAGAGTAGAATACAAGATGGAAGGAGATAAGTCTCGGACGCAGTCTCATTCTGAGATTCCTGGAGGCTGGATCATCATTTCAGACTGAGATACAGAGCCAGTGACTGGCTGTTTTGATTTTCTAGCCTTCAGGTTGAATCCTTATTTCTCTTTCATTGGGTTTTCATTAATCATGCTATAGGGAGTGGGAGCAGAGATTGGGTTAAAGGAGATAAAGTGGGGCAACAGTTGGAATTGATAGATACTTGAGAAATGTTATTGAAACCTAGTACAATCAAAGCTCCATAATATATATGAGGGTGACTTAAGACCCACTCTATGAGACAGAATTCATACCCAATACTGCTTGAGTGACCAAGAACCAGACACTAGATAGTCCAGAGACCTAGGTTAAAACCAAACAGTACTGATCTAAAAATAAAAATAAATAAATAAAAACAAAACAAAACAAACAAAAAACCCAGTAAAATGACTCCTAATGATATTCTGCTATACTCATAGATCAGAGCCTTATCCAGTCATCTTTAGAGAAGCTTCCTGCTGCAGCAGACAGAAACAAATGCTCACACCCACAGTCAGACACTATGCAGAGGGAAAAAGTTTTCGGAACATACAGCTTTAAATTTGATGTCTCCATCATATCTCTCTCCTTAGAGTCCAGGAAACCTGGCAGAAGGAGGAAGGAATATAAGACCCAGAGGGGAAGGAAGACACTAGGAGAAAAGGGCTCTCTGAATCAACTGGGCAAGGCTAATATGAACCCACAGAGGCTGCAGCAGAAAGCACATGGGCCTTCACTGGTCTCTGCTCTGTATTATAGCTTTCAGCTTAGTGTTTTCATGAAACTCCTAAGTATTTGAAGGAATGGGTATCTAGTGCCTGCTCTGGGTCTCTTTTCCTTCTGTTGGGTTGCCTTGTCCAGCTTAATGTGATGAGTTTTGTGTTATCTTTTTATATGTTATTTTGTCATGTTTGATTATTTCTAACAGCAGACAGAAAGAAAAAGAATGCCACTGGCCTGGAGTAGAGGTGGGAGCAAACTGGGTTGAGTATTGGTAGGAGAAATTGTAATCGGAATATGTTGCATGAGAAAAGAATCTGTTTTAAATAAACAGAAAAAAGAAAACCTACAATATTTTTTAAAGATTCATTTATCTATTTATTTGTGTATATGAGTGTTCTATCTTCTTGTACCCCTGCTATAGATGTTTAGATATTTTTATGTAATTGAAATTATACAATGTGATTTTCTCTCTCTCTCTCTCTCTCTCTCTCTCTCTCTCTCTCTCTCTGTGTGTGTGTGTGTGTGTGTGTGCGTGTGTGTGTGTATGTGTCTACCTTTATTTGAGTCATTATGTTTTGTTTTTGTTTTTGTTTTTGTTTTTGTTTCTTTCTGGTTTTTGGAAACAGGGTTTCTCTGTGCAGCCCTGGATTTCACTCTGTAAACATGGTTAGCCTCAAACTCAGAGATTTCCGTGCCTTTCCCACCCTCTACTGGGATTAAATGCATATACCATTAATGGGAAAATGTATAAAGTATATGGTTCAAAATATCTTCAGCAATCTTAGAAAAAATTATTTTTATGATCATAATAAAACTTGTGGAAATCATATAAAGCAAATTTTAAAATTTAAGTATATCACTACTATTATTTTAAAAGGTAATATGATATTGACAAATGAAAAATATAAAATTCTTACCAATTAAGAAATTAGTTAGTTAGAAATTTCTTTTTTCTTCCTTTCTTTTCTTTTTTTTTGCTTTCTTTTCTGGAGGGGCCGGATTCTCAGAACTGTCATGTACCAGCCTGTCATATTTTTGAAGTGCATAAAAAACAAGGAAGGTTGTGGCCAATTTGCAAATACTACCTGAATTAAAAAAATTAATACTTATAATGTAACTGTTTTTTAACAAAAGTTATTGAAAGAATACCATCTACGTGAAGAAAAGATATCATTTATTTTTGAAAGTATTAATTCCCCAATTATAAAATAAAATAAATTTAATATTTTAAAGCTATGTTAAATATTTTTAAATGCTAACAAAATGTTTCATATTTGTCAGATATCCTCTAAAAGTAGCATTTTATGAATTCATAAACTGTATTAATTTGAAAACACATAAATGAATTGTACTTTTCAAATTTATCTGTCAGTAGAAACTGAAAATACTTAAAGGTTTAATCAGCTATAGTGTTTGAAATACTGGTCACTCTCCACAAATAAATAGTAATTTATAGAAAATATAATCATTCTTATAGGTTTTTGCTTTGTTTTAAATTTCTGAAAATTACAACTATCATATAAAAATAAACTCCACAAACAGAAAATCCTATTTATTAGAGTAAAAATGTTGTAGCAAGACAATACCAGTTATCTAACACCAGTTGTGTCACATGAATCAGAGTTTTCCGTTTATGAAATATTTCATAAATTTTTAGAGATATTACCTCAAAGATGTAGTTACCTATGATCAAGCTGTAATTTTATAGTGAAAATTGTAAGCAATGAATGGCTGTGATGTTCTTTAGGAAGCACAGAGCTGGAGAAAAGAATGAGAAATTATAGGAATGCATCTGGTTGTGCTTCCAAGAACAGTGTGATGAGATCAGAACACTCAGCAATAGGAAAAAATCCAGACAATACAATGAAATTTTCTATGTTTAAAGAAATAGAAAAATTAACATTCAAGGCAGAGGAGAACTTCATGGCAGTGGCATGCAGTCTACTTTGGGTACATTTCCATAGCAGATGAGATCAAGAGGTGCAAGACCACACTTTTATACCAGAAGGACCTGTAACTGGAGTATTCTGTTGCAGTCAGAGACCGAAATGCAATGATCATGCAGAGAACAAGGAGTGCGAAGAAATACCAAGACACATGCTTAATGCTGAGAGGGCAGAAGCCCAAACAACAAAACAGTAAGATTAAGCTAAGAGCTGAACTGGTTGTTTTTATTCAGAATTATAGTCGAACAAAAGGAAACTGAATGGAAAGACTTGGTGAGTTCATAGCTTGGTCAGGAATGAGCAAGACCAAATGTTTGGAAGAAGAAAAGAGAAGTGGGGCCCAGCAAGCATTTACTAATGAGATTAGTTTGACTAAACAGGAGTGGGTCATTGTGCATCAGAACAATGAAGAAGGGTCTTCAGAACATTTCTGAACTCTTTGGAGAGATGTCTGCTCCTGCCAGGGGTGGATTCTTCAGTGTCTTAAGTTTCATAGCTCTAAATGAACTTGCTACTTAGGGGAACTTTCTCTCCTTTCTTTCAAGTGAGTACCACTAAGTAGCCATGTCTCATATTTAACTACTAATGCTCACATTGGAAGCAGATCTTACTCAAATGTCCTAATTGTCCAGGGGAGTAAAATGCAAAAAAAAAAAATGGTTTTGGTATCTTGACAATTTAAATAAATTTTTGAAAAGAAAGCCAGGGAAACCAGCCTGAGATTTGCTGCAAGATTGGAGGTCACACAGAACAGGCCTAAAAGGGCGATGCCAACTTTAGCTTTGGAAGTGGGCAATAGACAATCAGAGCAATTAGCAATATTAAGCAGCATCAGAGAAAGTAGACAGAGTACAGAGGCAGACCAAAAGAGAGACTGTGGATCTGGTAGTGTCTTCAAAATCACAGGCATAGGTTGCCTGCGGAGACACCCTTCAGCACTGTGTTCCTGGGAGACTGGGTTTGGAGTTTTAAGATTCAATATCTACTGTGACAGATTTCAATCTTCTTTAAGTCCTCAGTACTCCTCTTTATCTCCTGACATCTCCCTTAGGACTAACGATTCTTGTCCTGTCTTGTCACACTTCTAATTTGCAAGCATGTAATTTTTTTTTAACAACAGCTCATATCTGAAAGTGCTTTCCATGAGTCTCAAGTGAACCTGTGATTTTGAACTTTGCAGTGATGCTGAAGAGGCCTTGGCACTGTGAGGATAGAATTACTATATTTTGCATTAAGACATCTCAGATCTCAGAGGGCAGGGATGGATTGCTGCACATTGGGTGCTCATGCATTCGAAGCTTGATCCTGTTGTACTAAGACCATGGTGATGAGTCTTATAAGAGTTGGGGCCCAGTGGGGGACTCTTAGAGAACACTAGGGATACAGATTTTACAAGTAATTGACATTGATTGTTTCCCCGGGGTAGCACTGAGGTTAAGCTCTGGCTCTTTTAGCATCCTGTCTCTTAATGTGATAGCTCTCTAATGCACAGGTTCCGCACATTATGTCAGATAGCATGATCTGATACAGTCAAAAGGCCCACAGAGAATTACAGTCCTATTTGTCATTTGAAACTCTCAATCCAGGGACTAAATAAACTTATTTTCATTATAAAGTACCAAGACTCAACTGCTTTTATAACAATCAAAAGGAAAAATAATATACATGATATCTATCTGATTTACGCATGTTGTCAAAGGGACAAGTTTTTCTTCTTTGTCGGGGTCCAGTAGAATCTTTGGTATGTAATGAGAAATTGTCATTGTCCATTCATCAATTGGTTAGTTTGCTGCACATTTCTAGACTTACTAGATGGTGCTACCTTAGTTAGTTTTGAATTTCTAAGTAGTTCCAATGCTTTTCATTTCTTCTGAATTTATTTCTGGTTCCCATCCAGACTGTCTTCTGTTGTATGTCTCTGCAGTAAACCTTTTATACCGTCATAATGTGGTAACATTTTCCAGGGTTCTCCAGTGAGTACATGAAAATGTATGTCGCGCCACACTGCACAGACTCACACAAATAGCACATAGGCATTCATTACTTTGGTTCAACATGCTGCTATCAATGAAATCAAAACATATTTTGCATGTCTTTTACCCACACACACTCTTCCAATTTTCATCATTCATCTTGTTCATCATTCTTGAACTCTTAGGCAAAGGATCTAAATTAGCATGACTTTCTTTTTTCTTCTTTTGCAGTTTCATGTGTAGCGAAGTCCTTGGAGTTGATCTTAGAAACTTGATCTCATGAGTTTTCTGAAGCTTATTCTCATTTCATTGAAAAGAATTCCTCTCCACGATACCTGGGCATCACTTCTCTCTCTCTTCGGCTACCTGAATCAAGGCTACCGGAACACAAGCCATGTACGAGCACAGCAGTTGACACTAAAGGCAAGATGACTGCTGACTGACTAACAGGTAGATAAGGTTCTTGGATGAAGTAATGATTTGCCTTCTGGGAGGAACAAAAGAGGAATGCTTATTTTCTAATGTTATTCAAAATATCCTATAATTTAAGATTCATGAATTATGCTTTCTCTGTAAAGTCTGTTTAATATTTTCAGACCATGTAATTGGTGGTGTGACACCCGAACCATGGTTGAGGCTGCACACTCCACTCTGGCAGCTACCTCAGCTTCATTAAAGGATGAATTTCCATTTTGTCAATTAGTCTCTCTGGGTTTAGTCACAGATGTTCCCAGTGTAACCCTGTCCCTATGTTAAGGGCATATGCTTACTTGTTTTTAATAAAACCATTAATATTCTTTTAAACGTAATTTTTTAAAAGGAATTCCTTCAGAATTTCACATATTCTATTTTATATATTCATCCCCCTAATCGCCCCTCTAACTCTTGCCAAACACACCCTACCTTACCATGGTCTTTTACAGTTTTTCTTCCAACCCCTGCTTTTAAAAGTAACTCATTGTAGTGGCTTGAATGAGAATTTCTCCCACAGTCTCAGGTATTTGGACACCGATCCCCAGTGATGACCCTGCCAGGGAAGGTGGTTTTGCTGGAGGACTTCTTTATTAGGAATAGGCATTGGGAATTCATAGCTTTATCCTAATTTTCCTGATTTCCTCTGTTTCATGTTTATAATTGAAGATGCGATCTTTTAGCTCCCTGCACCTGCTGTCATGTCTGCCATCTGCTGGCAAGCCTTCCCACTGCGACTGACTCATCACTCTGGAGGCATACATCAAAATAAACCCTGTGATAAATTACTTTTCGTCACTACACCTTATTACAGCAGTAGAAAAACAACTAATACAGAATTTGTTAACAGTGGGCGGGTTATTGTTATGAAGAACTTGACTATGTTGGTTTTTGGAGAAATGTAGAAAATTTTGGAACTGTGGAATAGAAAAACAATTGAATTCTGTAAGTAGGACTTCATGAGTTGTTCAAATAGGATCCTGGAGAACAATAATCCTGAGGGAACTCTGAAAAATGGAGGCACAGTTCAGGAAGATCCAGAGGGGAGTAAAGACAACTGGTCTAGCAGTCATTCCTGTGATGTTTAGGTACAGCATTTGTCTATCTTCTGCCTGTGTTCCAAGAATTTGACTAAAGCCCAATTAAAATATATCGACTAGTTTCATTGGTGGAAGATATTTCAAGACAGCATATCTTTGTACCCAAGGCTTGGTGTTATGTCTCCTCTTTATAGGTCTTCAGCAAAAAGGAAGTGAGACAGAAGAGATAAAAATGTACAGTTTCGAGAGAAAAGGACTCCTAGGAAGTTTAGTGTTACTAATAGAGGCTGGAAGAGTAGTTGTAATTGTTAAGGAGGCTAGCATTAATAAAGAAAGACCTCTGCACTGGAATTAAGGAAAAGATAACCCAAGGACACCCAGATGACCTTTTGATTTGTAAAAGGGAGCCTGAGGGTTTTCTGTTCTGAGGAAGCTAGCAAAAGTTGCTACAGATGTGACTCCAGGCTGTCATTGTCCATGGAAAACTGGAAACCAAATCCAACAGTGGTGTTCACAAGGTACTAATAGTAGGAGTGTGAAAGACATAAAAGTGAGTGACCAGGTTGTGAATTTCTACTTCCAATTGTCAGTCTGCTGCTGAGGCCAGCCAACACTTGGCAGCGTTGTCCCTTCAACAGGAAGAGTCTAAGAAGAAAAAAGGCCATGAAAGACCATTCTATGAAGCTGTGAAAGTGAATCTGAGCTGTGAAGTGACAAGGAAGGTTTGAGAGCTCATGTCTTTGTCCTGCATCCTGATCATTTGTTCTGCTTTGTGTTTATTTAACAAGATTTTGGAGATATCAAAACCGTGAAATATCTACCAGAGAGAGCAGCAGACTGGAAGTAGGAAAGTGTATTGCAAATCTGGAGTGGTGTAGCCATCTAAGTACCCTGACACTTGGCCCGGATTACATGTTTTTACTCCTGTGTCTTGAGCATCCTCAGTATGTACCCATTTGGGGCATCCTCAGTATGTCCCCATTCTCCTGGTTTGAAAAGGTAATGTGTATAATGTGCCTTTAAACAGTGGATGTCTGTAATTGGCCTTTTGACTTTATGTGAGGTTACAGTTAAGGGATTTCCTTGAACCTCCAAAGAGACTTTGGACTTTGATTCTTTAAGCAGTGCTGAGACTAAATGCATTTGACATTATGATGCCACCATTAGCTTACGAGGGCCAGTGAGTAGAATATGGTAATTTGAGCCAATAGACTCAGGGATAAAAATACTTGGCTCTTCGTTGTTTGCACAGTTTGTGGAGGCAGAATAGTTTCAATGAAAACATATTATTGGGGACAAGGAAGGTTTGAGAGCTCATGTCTTTGTCCTGCATCCTGATCATTTGTTCTGCTTTGTGTTTATTTAACAAACCCCAACCTTTTGCCCAAGGCAAAATTTATGTGGAAATTTTATTTATTTATTATGTGGAAATTTATTTTTGGAAAAAAATATTGAGTAATTTTGTGAGAATTTCAGTAACAAAAACTGACATAATTTATCTAATATTACCAAAATAGGAGAAATGAAGGTGGACTTTTCTGTCTTGCCAGCCAGTTTTCAAATAACCATACAGATACTTATTTTTAATTATAAATGCTTGGCAATAGCTCAGGCTTATTACTAGATAGCTCTTACATTTTAATTAACCTATATTTCTTATCTATACTGTGCCAGGTGGCAGTAACTTTTTTCAATGTAGCAAGTTTATCTTGCTTCTTTCCATGTTCCCTCACACTCCTGAGACTCCTTCCTCCTTCTTCATTACACTCTCTTTTTGTCTGCAAGTTCCACCTAATTTCTACCTGTCCATCTATTGGTAAGTCAGCTCTCTAGTTAACATGTAAATATGTAACACATATTTACAGTTTACAAAGATTGTTCCACAGCAGTAAAATGATCAAGTTTAGTCTTCAGAGAGATAATATTTCGAAGATGCTATTTACTAATCTTTAATAATGTAAAGTTGAAAAATCCATGAGGGAAACCAATTTTATTATATAAATGCACAGGCAAAATTAGTTAACAACTGAAATTATACCAATTATCATTTTTTTAAGGAATGATGCAGAACTGTAGTCCACTTAACAAAACAAGTATTTATATAAATTCTGTAGTATAGGTTTATAAAATACTTCCTACACAATTTATAAGTCTTTAATTATCAAAGTATTTACTCATGGTAACTATTTCTTTTTTATAAACAATTGCAAATTCTACAATCAATTTTATTTACTTAAATATATATAATTCACATTACTTACATAGTCCCAACAATATGAAGGCCATTTTTTTCTTACTGTAGATCCAACAACGACCTTTACTTCCACATTTACTAACGTCCCAGTAAATACAAGAGCTTCTTGCTGTTAATCGAAAAAGTAGTGGTCCAGGGATGGATCCTATAAAATAGTCAATGATTATATAAGTGCTTTATAAACACACTATTGACCAGGACTAGAATAATTTCTATACACTCTTTCTCAGATACACCACACACATGTTTGTGCACACACACACACGATTCTCTAAACACATTCTTTAAAATACGGCAATATTTTTTATCAATTGTCTCCATGACCCTGACAATAAATATCCTGATCCCTGCATGTACAGGAATGTTGTATGACCTAGAAAAGAAAATATTGATGTGTTTCTAAATGATCATATTGGAAAATTACATTCTAAGTATCATTTATTTCTATAGATTTTTGATGTTCCTGATCTGCAGCAGGGAAGCTTCCTTGTAGTAGCATATTATTTGTATTTTGATAAATAAATCTTGCCTGAAGAATAAAGGCAAAGCTAAAACCACTAGAGGTCAGGTAATGGGGAAACACACTTTAATTCGAGGATTTGGGAGACAGAATCAGAATCACACAGATCTTTGTTACTTTGTTATGTCAAGGCCATCTTGAGCTACACAAAATCAATGCAGAAACAAATTCAGTTCATGGTGTCCTATACATTCAATCCCAGTCTTAGGGAGCCACACGCCTTTAATCCCAGCTCTAGAGGGAATACAAAATGGGAGGAGAGAGAGTTCTAATCTATTCAGTCTGCAGTCAATCAGCCTTGGTAGAGGTAAGACTTCTCTAGCTGCTTGGCTGTTTGGCTTTTCTGGTTTTCAGGTTGAGCCCCAATATTTATCTCTGGACTTTATCATTCATGGTACATTTGGCACCCAACAATTTGCCTGAAGCTTTTTAGCCATCAACACAGGATGGAACTGCACATGGACATCCCATTGGAGCTGAATGTGGGTCTCCAGCCTTAACTGACTAGGTTTCATTGCTCTCTCTCTCTCTCTCTCTCTTTCTCTCTCTCTCTCTCTCTCACCCATGGATTGAAGACTCTCCCTGCACCCCTTTCTTGGGCTGATGCCAAGGTAGTAGCTGCCTTGAAACCTAGTCATGTTTAATAAAATAGATTACAGAAAGATCCAAATCCAGACATAAGATTGTAATGGAGAGGCAATTTCAACATTGCATTATAAGAACAGAGAGGAACAGCCTAAGGTTTTCAGACAATCAACCTTGATATATCCAGTAACCTTACAAGAATTGCCAAATGGCAGAGGCTCTGTTGTAGATAACTGTATTCTTGTGCCATTGTTAGATTTAAAGAGATTCAAGGAAGCAATAGTTCTCAATGGCATGCATTCAACTTTTCTGAAGCAAATGTTAAACTCATGGTCAGTTTGTTACAGAATTATCTCTAATGACTGGAAAGATTTGGTTAATGGAGTTTTAGAGACTGAAACACAGTTACAATGGAGTACCTGCTTCAGAGTAGAGGCCAAAATTGTTGAACAAATGGACTAAACCTAAAGGTAGGAATATCTCCCAAAGTCAATTTCTTGAAGAAAGAAACTATAGAAAGGCAGGCTGTATATGATGACCACACACTGGATTTAGGCCAGCATCAGCTTTGAATGCTCGGCACAGAATTGGAGAAATAGGAAAGAAAATTGAGTCTTTTATTAAAGTTCTGCAAGGGCCAAAGGAAGACTTTGTGGATTTCTTAAAAAGATTGACTTTAGCAGTAAATAGAAGCTAACAAATAATAATTGAATCTATGGCTTTTGAGAATGCCAATTTTCTATGCAAAAGAATAATTAGGTCATTAAAGGCAAGGTCAGCACCTTGGATGAATGAATCTGAGATTCAGTTAATATAGAATTTAAAGAGCATGATTATACATGGATAGGAGAAGTGATTTCCAGAATTTTGGGGAAAAATTGAAATGTTAAATGTTATAATTGTGGCAAATAATGTCACTTTAAAAGGGATTATAGGCAAAATGCTCCTATAAACAATGTTTTCATTTTTCTAAAAATAATCTATTCAGAATTCCTCTCCCTTCTGGATTACGTGGTAGTCATTGGACTAATGAAAATAGGTCAAGGAGGAATATTCTTAATAATACTTTGCCATTAGAAGACTCTGCAAGGAGTCTCTCACAGGTTACTTTGCCAAATTCAGTCCTTATGCCAAATCCTTTTCAGTCATTTCCTGTCATCATAGAGAAAACTCCTTTCCAAAGCAATGAAGGAAGTTAATGCCTATTGTAAGAAGCCATACTGCTCTGGATAACAGAACATCTATAGAAGGGAGAACAAAAAATTCAACAGAAATCATAAAGCAAATATTTTGGCAAACTTATATAAATGAGCAAAGACCCAAATTAAAAATATGAACAAACGACATTGCCATTGAAGGTCTGGTAGACACAGTTGTGGATGTAATTTCATCAGAATCTTGCCATACAAATTGGCTTCTTCATTACATAAATGTTCAATTTTTAGGAACTGAAACTTTATCTCAGGTAAAGGAGAGTACAAGATGAGTTGAATGTACAGGGCCAGAAGAACAGAGAGGAATATTAAAACCATATGTAACTAACATAGCACTGAGTATGTGGTGATGTGACTTGTTACAACAAAGGACTTCTCAGATTAACATTTCTCCAATCTTAGAAACAAAACCATATATTAGCATATGTTTCAGAGAAAAATATTAGAATATTTTATAAAGAACATTCACCAACCATTGAGGTTGTACAGGAAGAGAGGACCACAGTTGCTGATATTCCAAAGGCACCAACAGCCCTACCTTTAAATATGGCTGACAGATAAACCTGTATGAGTTAACAAAAAAGAGACTGCAGGCTTTAGAACAGTTGGTACAGGAGCATCTATATGCTCCACATATTGAAGAAGCAACCAGCCCCTCAAATACTTCTGCATTTGTTGTTAAAAAGCAATCTGGAAAATGAAGAATGGTAACAGATTTAAGAACTGTTAATAAAGTGACTCAGCCAATGGACTTTCTATAGTCTGGCACTCCTTTGACTTCTCTATTACCTAAAGGATGGCCTCTAGTAGTTATTGACTTAAAAGATTATTTCTTCACTATAACTTTACAAGAAAAAGACAAAAGAAAAATTTCCCTTCATAGTGTCTACTTATAATAGTTCTTAGCCTGCTAAAAGATATCAGTAGAAGATTCTACCACAGGTAATGCTAAATAACCCCTCCCTGTGCCAGTATTTTGTAAGTCAGCCATTGGATATGACAGGAAAGCAATTTCCTGAAACTATAGTTTGCCATTACATGGATGACATTTTGATGTCTTATTCAAATGTAGTTGCTTTAGAAAGAATGTTTGAAGATGAAAATTTTGCGTTGTTGGTGGTTACAAATTGTTTCTGGAAGAATACAAAGAAGAGATTCTATTAATTATTTAAGTTATAAAATGGAATTACAAAAAATTAGACCCCCAGAGGTGCAAATTAGGAGAGATCAATTGCAAACTCTTAATGACTTTCAAAGATTACTTTGGCCCAGTATTAGGGTAAAACCCAATGAACTGATTCATTTAAACAAAACCTTAGATGGAGGCAAGAACTTAAATAGCCCCAGGAAATTATCAACTAAAGTTGAAAAAGAATTGACTTTGATTGAAAAGAAATTACAGAAGATACATGTGGATCATTTGGATCTGAACTTAAGTGCATTCTGGACATATTATACTCTAAACATTCACCTACAGTAATTTTAATGCAGAAGGAATATATGACCTTTGAATGGATCATTTTACCACATTAACTAGGTAAAAAATTAAAAACCTATGTGGAAAAAGTCTCTGAGTTAACTTTACAAGAAACATTGAGACTTAGCTCTCAATTGTAGTATTTTTGTAGTTCTAGTACAGTTAATGATTAAAGATGGCTTTGGAATTGGAGTGTGGCTTTCCCCTTCTCTAAACCCAAGCAGGCTTATTAAAGTGAAATTCTAAATCTCTGTCTTTGTCAGAAGAGCCACCTTATATGGGGTATAAGAAAAACATATTTAAGGACTCTTTTATTGTTTCTAAACTCATAATCTTTTGGTTTTATTTTGAACCTTTGACAGCTTTTCTTAAGATATAAGATTTATGAGATTAGTATATATATATATATATACATATATACATATGTTATATTATATATGTATCATATATAAATATATATTTAAAGTTGTGTCATGATATTAATAGTCATATAGATTACTAGCTAATTCTGGAAAAAAATTTCATCTACCTTTCTGTATATGATTTCAGGTTTGAGTGTCTACCAGTTTTCTACAGTGAAACATGAACATGCTTAACAGTGATCTTTCAAGTCTCTATAAGGAGGATGGGACCCCATAATGATGATGCCTCCAGGGTTATGATAATAACACTAAGATAGAAAAAATATCTTCTGAGGATCAGTTTTGGTCTGCTCAGAACTATTTTGTGGTGGCTAGCTGAAATAACCCAACCTAACTGACTGCTCTAGTTGGGAATTGAAACAAGCCCTGCACTTTCCCATTATGAACTGGACAAAACATGATACAGTTACCTCTCCCAGGATTTGAAAATGAACCCAAATTTTTCTTTTCAGGATCCCATAAAGATCCTGTCAACCCCAGAGAGCAGAAAGTAAATTTAGAAATCTGATGCCCACATTCCTAAGGGGTAAGGTGGGTTGTTTTTGGCTGTTCAATGGATTGTGTATATTTGTCATTGTTTAGAGGATTAGTTGCAAGTTATTATTGGTAGTGGTCTGGAACAAAGCTAAACAAAGGAAATTAGATTCAAGGATCTTGCTTTGAAAAGAAAAAAGGGGGATATGTTCAGTAGGATAAAGAAAGTAGATTATTGAATCTTCTCTGAAATATAAAAGGGATGATATAGATACAATAAGATAAAAAGGTAGATTGTTAAATATACGTTAAAAAAGCAGCTACTAGCTTTAAATGTTTTATGTTGGATTGGATGTTTTTGTACTGTATATAATTTTGTATATTAAGATTAATTTTTTAGAACAAGCTGTACGCACATTTCTACCCCTGGTAATGGTATTTTACCCGTATAACTCATTTAAAAATTAATAATGCAAATTTCTACTCCTTAAAAATTATTATTACCAACTGTTTAGGATAATAAGGAAATGCAGGTTAGTAGTTAATCACCTAGTATAATAGAACTTGTAGTCACACTGGGTGTGTTTTCAAGGTCAAACAAAGATACACTTTAGATAAAAGGTCATCTTCAAACATTTCAGAGATCAAACGAATATGAAATTTAAGATGATTGGATAACCTATGTTCCTTTTTATGACAGAGAGGCATGTCTCCACCTGGCAGTACCAATCTACTTCAGAGGTGGTAATGGGTATCAAAGAAACTCCGTGTGGAGTTTGCTTTCTTTGTGGTAAAAATAAGTTGCTGAGCAATAAAATACCCTTGTCTTGACTACTGACAGTATGTTGTACTAATTGGAAAAGTAAGACACAAAAAAGTGATTGACAAACGTTGTCAAGACAAGGAGAGACGGCTCTTCAGTATGTCTTTCTTCAAAGAAATGTCTGTCAGATATGCTAGGCCTGTAGGCCAAAGATAGATGCCTCAACACTGCATCTATTATAACTATTCAGGCAGACAGCTGTTTCTGTCACTTCTATTTTTTGGAAGTTGCTTGCTTGCATTTCCTGCTTACTCAGTTAATATTATTTCCTTCCTGGGTCTCTGAGGCAGTTGAAGACAAGACAGTTGTAGTTATAGTCTCCCTCATTTATGATACTAAGAAAAGAAATTCACTAAAGAAGTGTAAAGTATATATAAGGTTGAAAGCTATCAAAAGATAGTTTTAGATGATAATGCAAGTTGTTGAAGAATGTAAATTAGGGACAAAAATTTGGATTCACTGAGATGAGATAGATGTGGAGTATTTTCTCTGAATTTGTCAAATCCAAATTGACTAGATATTATTGATGTATTTGTTGCCTGTATATATTGTATACAGTTATTGTACTTCTTATATATAGTTTTTTTTAATAAATGGAGACTTCTCTTTTGTTCCCAGCCACCCAGACCCAAATAATAACACAGAAATGTTATTAATCATATCACTGCTTGTCCATTAGCTTAGACATATTCCTAGCTAAGTCTTATATCTAAAATTAGCCCATTTCTATTAATCTCTGTATTGTCATGAAACTGTAGCTTACCAGAAAGGCTCTAGACATCTGTCTCCTTCAGCAGCTACATAGCATCTCCCCGACTCTGCCTACTTTCTTTCTGTATCTGCCTAGTTTTACTCTGTTAAGCCATTGGTCAAAAAAACTTTATTCATCAACCAATAAAAGCAACATATAAACAGAATGACATCCCATAATAGTTTTTTTTAATATTATTTATAGATTTCTTCTTTATTTTAGACACAAAGGAGAAATGTAGTGGTATATTATTTATATTTTGATAAATAAATCTTGTCTGAAGACCAGAGGCATAGCTAAAGTCACCAGAGGTCAGGGAATGGTGACACACAACTTTAATCCAGGATTAGGGAGACAGAGTCAGATGATCTCTGTGAGTTCAAGGCCACCTTGGGCTACACAAGATCAATGTAGAAACAAATCAAGGTGGTGGTGGCTCAAATGTTTAATCCCAGTACTAGGGAGTCACACATCTTTAACACCAGCATGAGAAGAAATATAAAATGAAAAGAGAAAGAGCCTTACTCTGTTTAGTTCGTGGCTGCCCCACCTTGATAGAGGTAAGACTTCTCTAGTTGCTTGGCTGCTTTGCTTTTCTGGTTTTCAGACTGAACCCCAATATCTATCTCTGAGTTTTTATTTTTTGTCTACACTTTCTATTGCAGCTGGTGTTAATGCAGACTTGTTACTATTCAAAGTGCTACGAATACTTGGCGATGAGTGTGCAGCCACACTTGTGAAATCTCTATGACCCTCCTCTCTTCAGAGGCTCTGGGGACATTATAGAAGAAGGGGATGAAGGAATGTAAGAACCAGAGGATGGAGAAGAGAGTTATAAAATACTGTCCTCTAGACATAACATAACTATTGCAAACATGAACTCATAATAGCTGTTCATACTTCACAGGTCCGTGAAAGATCAAACCAGTTAAAAAATGCCACCATGGATTTGGAATGGCATTGGAAGCCCCAGAAAATTCAATTTGTTCTTGTAGAAATTAAATTCATAGACACATCAGATTGAGAATCATTGGTGATGAAGACATTTAATTTGGGGACTTCACAAGCTTACAGAAAGTAGAAAATTACTGTGAGTATGTGAATGTTTTGTACAATCTCTCAAAGTCACTTTGGTGAGATGATAAAAGAAACCTCGGGTCCAAATTCACGGTTCCAGCCTGGCACAATGTAAGTAATGTATATTTTACTTAACAGGATGGCTTTTATTTCACACATTTTCTTTCTAAATTTAATCAGCTCCCAACTTTTCCCAAACAATCTTCTATTTACTTGTTTTGTGTTATTTTACATTATTATTTATTTGTAATTTTAAATACACATATAAATATGAACAATTTGATACATTAGGCATATCTGAAAATACATACCTAATAATCTCTTGACTGTATAGGTCACACCCACGCCCAGGGCCTTTAAATTGTTAGGTAAAATTCTGAAAGCAAATAACAATATTACCTATGTGTTAGGTTCATGTTATATATATATATATATATATATATATATATAATGTCATATTGTGAATATATATTATAAACATGAATTTATAAATTATATATATATTTATACATTATAAAATATGATAATTATGCATGTTGCGTAATTTTGTATACAAATCTTTAGCTAGTTGACAAAAGTTCAGTTTTCCATACAGATAAAGTATAAATTTTTCCATTTCTCCATTATTTAAACACGCTGTCTACAAAGCTCTTCAGTCTTCCCAAGAGAAGGGACTTCATGGTTAAGCTCGGCCTATGCCTTCTGTTCCGGCAGTGACTTAACTCTCTTCCTCTCAATCCATCTTTCCTCATGCTTGCAGGTCCAGTTTTATTCAGAATCCGTTACACCTTTGTGAAGTCCACTTCACATTTTTCTACTTTTTTGGAGGTTTTGGATTCTACACTCCAAAAATTATTTTGGTAAACATCATTTAACTTCCAGGCTTTTGACCGGGTTATACCTAAATGGTATTTTGGGTGAAGGAGAAAGGTGAAGTCAAGTCCCTTTCTTCAGGATTCTTCCCCATAGTTACTCAGGGTGACGGAGTGCCATAGAAAAGGGTCCGCCTCACAGGTGTTTTCCACTCTCCCTCCCTTAGAGTGAAGATGCAGAATACCATGCCTTGCCAACCGACATTTGGTTGCCACTTTATTCAACTTTCCTTAAACAGTCCTAATTTCTGAGTTATCCTCTTTCATGGTGTACCCTTATTATTTTCACTCCTTAAAATAAATGAAAACCTACTTTACATCAGTTTAAGCAGGAGTTCAACTACATTCATGCAAACAAGTCTAATTAATTTAGCAAGTCACACATAGAGAGAAGTCATTAAAGGTACGAGGGGTTTGTTGACAAGAAGAAAAGATCAAAACAAGTGTCAAAAGCCACTAAAATTCATTGTATATATTTATGACAATATATACATATGTATATTGTATATTATATAATATACATATATTATATATGTATAATTTTTCATATATTATATGAAAAATTAAATAAAAGGATCTCTGTGTTTCTTGTTGATTAAATCAAATATTTGTTGAAGAAGAAAAGCAGTGCAGAGTTATGTTTTAAATCAGTACTTTGTAAAGCTCCTTTGTTATTTATTTCATTGTATTAAAACTAAACACTTTACAAAATGTTTCATTTATAAAAATGTGGCACCGAATTTCATGGCATTTCAAAAAAATCAGCTTAATTCTACCCATATTGACCTGGTCAAGCATACATTGTATCAAATACTTATAATAAAAATGTAAACGTTACTAATTACCCACCGGCAATTAAATTAGTTTATAAATATAAGATATATTTCACAAGTAGATTGACTAGAGATAAAAACAACTGCTGTATTTTAGGGACAAAATTTTTGTTCAAAGATTTTCATACAAAGTAGAACTGTTGGGAAAAGGCTTAATTACAACAGAGTGTTCTGCATCATTTAGCATGGGAGTTTTCTTATATGTGGTATGACAGAATTTTTCTCTGAATCAAAACATTCTGACATGAAAAATTAGTAGAAATATTATATATGCTCTATTTAAAGCATCTTTGTGAGACAAAAATTAAATTGAAAGCTTAGTGATTTCTCTAAGTTTCCAGCCTAACTGCATGAAAATTTAGACATAGAGGCTGGAGGGAGACTTCAACAGGTAAAAGCACTTTTGGTGACACCCAAGAACCTGACTGTGATTCCCCAGAATCCTGTAAGGGTCCTGTATTCTCTTCCATCACTATACCTATTGGCCTTTATGCTAATATCACAGTGTTTATGTCACTACAGCTTGGCTGCATAATTTAAATTCATATACAGCTCTAGCATATGCTTTTGTGATCATCAATACTTTGGCTATTTGTAATCTTTCACACCTACATGTGAATTTTAAAATTTTTCCTTGTCTTACAAAGAATAACCATAGAATACATTGTTGGAGATTGTATGAAATTGGTAAGATGATCATGTCTCTAATATCAACTCTATTGATCTGTAAACAGGAAATATTTTCTAATGGGAGAGAGGGGTGCTACAGAGGTCAGAGGAAAACTTTCAAGAGGTGTTTTTTCTTTCCATTATGTGAGTTCAATGGACTGAACTCGGGTCTTCAGACATGGTAGAAAGTGTCTATTCTCACTGAGGTATTCACCAACTTAAGTATGGGTTCTTTTATATTTTCTCTTCCTTGAATTTTATTTTCGTTAACAAAATTATCATTAGTTGCCCAAATGAGGAGTCTGAATATGTTCCAAGAATTCTTCATATTCCAGCCAAGTGACAATTTTCACCCTTTTAACAAAGCTAAATATTTCCTCAATATGGGCTATCATATTTCTAAATATCACTATTACATGCTTACTTTCTTTTCTTCTCTAGTTTTTCCCTTTAACTCCATTTTTCTTTCTATTTCAAATTACCCTATCAAGATGACCATTTGACTGTAATCCTTTCACCAGAAAGGCAGAGACAAAGAAAAGCATTGAGAAAAGCTGGGGTTATATAGGAAGACCTTATCCACTTTCATAACACTTGAACTACAACATAAAACAAAAGCAAAATATATATCTCATCAATTATGCTTATCCATTTTAGAGAATTTCATTATGCATATGATATATTTTGACCATATACTCCCCTATTTTCTCTCCCTCCAGTTCTTTCTTATTCTCCGTCCTGCTTTTTTTTCCTATCAGAACCATATGCTTAGTAGGATATTCCACACATTTCTGTCTCTACTTTTACTCCACAGCTATTTGTGATGATGCCAGAAATGAGATACTGTTTGCCCGTTTTGTTGGTCATCCTTTACAGGATTGTTAGGATGTAAATATACTTGTTAACTTGAAAAGATAAGTTTAATGTCTTTTTATTCTGTTCCTAGAATAAAAATGAATGTTAGGTGGACTTTAGGATGTTTAGGTGGTCTAGAAGAACACATGAATGATTAGTGTAGAACTAGGGCCAAATACCCATTCCAAAGAATCAATTTCATACTCACATTAACAATTAAAAAATTCTGATTTATGGATTCTTCATTTGTGTTATAAAAAGTGAATGTAATCTATGATTTGTATTAACTGTATTTTGTTACTGGTGCATAGATATAGCTTCTACATAATTCTAAATAATGTTAGAGAGTAATATGTTCAGTTCCAAAAATATGTAACTTAGTTTTAAATTAAAGTGAACCTAAATGTAACATCTATATAAGTTAGGCAAATAAACAAGTATAAGGAAAAATTATACTTATACACAAAATTTAACAACATATTTTTCCTCTTTATTTACTACTTTAAAACACAGAAAATCCTTTGTTGTAGCAATATGAACTATTTTTAAATGTATAATTCTTTAGTAATAAATACATAATAATTATGAGTATTAAATACTTACCGGAGTATAATCAAGGTTATTGGTGTAAAAGCCGAACTAGAAAAAACAATCGAAGAAAAGCAAAAAGCAAAAAACAAAGGTAATGTGTTACACTTGGTATTACATTTTCCAGGAGTGGCATCAATAATATCTCCATCAGAATCTGCATTTGCCAGTCCTTTTTTAATGCAAGAACAATTGTAGTATGTCTATGAATATTAAGTATAAAAAAGAGTATTTCAGAAATAATCAGGAGACAACAAATTTATTATTATAAAAAATAAAAGGAATTAAATCAATATCCAAAGGGAAACTACCCAGTGTTCAGACTGCTTTTGATTTTATGAATTTTTATTTATTAAGATGAAAATATAATGATACTATTTTCTCCCTCCTTTACCTTCTCTGAACCATTCCATGTAACCCTTTCAAGGCCATAGATTCTTTTTTTAATTGTTGTTTTACACATATTATATATATATGCATACTTGCATGAGTATATATAATATATATTCATTCACACATTTATATATAGTATATATACAACATAAACATATATTTACATACATGTATAGACAGAAATGTAACTTTCTCAGACTCTATGAAGTTATCGTGCAATGTTCTCAGGACTGACCATTCATACCTAGCTGGTGTGCTCTTTCCTGTAGAAGACTATTTCTCCAGCTCTCAACATTCCTTAGACAAAGAGTCTCACTCCATAACCCTGACTGACCTTGAACTCACAGAGATCTGATTGGCTCTGTTTTCAGACCAAAGGGATTAAAGGCATGTGCCACCATATCCAGGTAAGAATGCCAAAGTTAATGAGTATTCTCATGCTGAACTTGTTGTACATTATTTAGAAATGCAATATTAATTGTAAAATAAGAGATAAATAACCTATCAATGAATTACTTTTTGTGTAGGTGTTTGTGGGTATATAATTATCGTAAATAAATAAAAGTTCTACAAATTTAATAAATAGTAGTCAACTTATGTTAATTTTAATATCATTAGATAGAAATATAAATGAAGGGCAATTAAAAGAGAATGCAATGAATAATTATATTCTAACTAAATAAATTTTAGTTGAGACCTGAAATATGGACAATTACTCACCTATGAAAGATTGTGTAAGCTTGTTAATTCCTTGCTTTGTGTATAATAATGATGGATTTGATATTTATTAAGTACAGTAGGCACATGGTATCAGAGACCAAATATTTTTAAGAGCACACAGAACAGTAATTACAATCCCAAAACTGGGGAGACAGAAATACACATGTACACACACACACACACACACACACACACTCCTCCCCACACACACTAAAAATATTTACAAGATGTTTAGAGATAAAGAGATCACATAGGAATTTATTAGGACATTTAAAATGCCCTGAGCTACAAAACAATAATTATAACAGAGAAACAACTAAGTAAATATACTGCTAATAAGAGATTTAAGGATGGTTTGGACCTGAGTGGTTAAGAAAGTAAGAGTGTGAAATCATATCAGCCTAGCTGATTAATTGGTAGGCATGTTAAATAAAATAAATACACACATACCCAAGTTAAAGTTGTCACTTCACTGTAGTTTCTAAAGGTCTGTGTGCCAACTAACAGTTTAATTTGAGGGGACATATTGTCAGCAATACAACAGAAATTTGTTTGCCTTTTAGAGAATTTTCTACTTAGGAAGACAACTAGAGAACACAAAAAGTTTTATATGATGCATAGCATATGTGGTTATTATCAAGCAAAAAAGGGCAAGGAGAAGATGCACGGAGTATTAGGAAAAATACTTTTGTACTTAGAGGTATCAGAATGCATAAGTGAGAAACTGCTATTTGAGAAGACATTTAAAGAACATATGGAAGAAAACTACATGGTAATCTAGAAATATGTTCCACATAAGAGAAGAAAAGCAGTCGACCATAAAGCAGCGAGGGTGAGGATAGAAAGAATGGGAACGAATAAGAAAGCAAAAATCCAGGATAGAATGAGAAATGTAAATTGTACAAAAATTGGCAATTGCAAAATTAGGTTAAGGTACTTTGATCTTTACTCTTAGAAGCCACTCAGGTTGTTGAGACTATTGAGAGACCAAGGCAAGGATAAATGTTGGCATACACCATACAGGCTAATGAAATACAGTACAACAAAATGCTGTGCTGAAGAAATGGGTGATAACAGAGAAAATACTGAAAATAATCCTACATGCCATTATGTAGTAAGTAGATGGGAAAGAGTTTTCTGGAAGTTCTGTATAATTAATTGGAACCAAAATAAGAAAGGCACCCAAGAAAGTTTTACTAGGGAAATGAAGATCTTCAGCCCAGAGGGGCAGCAGAGGAAAACTAGAAAATAGCATACTGATTTGGGTTTTCTTTCTCTATCTTTCTAATGTTCTTCCAGGATTCCTTTACATTTTAATCCACTAAAATACCAGAGGAGAAAGATCCTTTATTGTGTTGGACTCCTGGGACAGAGTGCAAGAGATTAAGGGTGCTGAGCAGATCTGAAGGACCAAGGTGCAGTACAGTAAATGTCTACAAGACACAGAGTGAATAAAGTGACAATTATAAGACTGAAAACATAAAATTTAGTAGTCAATTGGTGAGATTTCAGGATATTAGGTTCTAAAAGTATTCAAGAATTTCAAAAGTCCATATTTTATAAGGAACTGAAAATAATGGCCTTGCTTTTGCACAAGATAATTGATATCGAAATCATGAATTGAATATAAACTCTGACTAGAAATTAGCTAAGGTTTGTTCAATGGGAGCACAGAAGTATACAGATGAATATTATATACATTTTTGTATATACGTGCACTATTATTGGGAAGGAAATAGTGGAGGAATTATAGAAATATCAAATTAGATCCTCATTAGTAATTTAAAAATTATCATGAATATTAGATAGTGTGTCAGTGACTCAAGTTCTAAGTCCTCCACAAAAAAATGACAGTAAATGTCTCAAGGCTGAACCTGGAGGAAAAAGGAGGGGCAAAGGAAGTACATTCTGCTGAGAAAAATTGATGAAAGGTACTTGGGGGAAGGAGGACAGAGCATGCTCTAAATCATCAGAGGAACAAAAAGGATGTTTCCCTATTCGTGTGAAGCTTGTGGAAAGAGAATAAATATTGACTCAAACTACCCAAAACAAAGCTGTTTCCAGAGTAAAGTAGACATTAGTCAGAGGATGAAATAAAGGAAGTAGTGCTTGGATGAAGAACACTTTCTGATTTTAGAAGACAGGATAGAAAGTTTCAAGGTGAGAGCGACGGGTGAGAAAGGAAATCAAAATGATAGAAAAGCCAGAAATGTGTGGGGATAAATTACCTCGAAGGCCACACCACTTTTTCTTCTCTTTGTTTGGTCCTAATTTGTTTTTTATTTCATTTACTCATTCTTATTCTTATGAGATGCCTGCTTGTTTTCGAACAATAGAGTGAAGGAAAGGCTGTGGTTTTTGATGGGTATGAAAGTGGGGAGGATCTGGTATGAAGTGAAGAAGGAGAAACTGTGCTCAGAATATATTATATGAAGAAATGTATTTTCAATTTAAACATCATTAAAAAGTAAGTGAAGGAGTGCCTACAAAAAGTAAACTATATGAACAAATATTAGGAGATATTTCATTTAATAGAAGGTTTGTCATGCACCAAGAGGAACTGAATTTGAATATCCAACACCCATGAGAAAAGTCAATCTGTAACCCTTGTTCTGGGCTGGAAATGGGAGAAGGGTGGATCCTGGAGATTACTGGTCATCCAGCCTAACCAACCTGATCAACTGTAGATCCAATGAAAGATCCTGTCTCAGAAGTTAAAGCAAAGATCAACTGAAGAAGACATTCACTACCAAGTTCTAGATTTTACACACACACACACACACACACACACACACACACACACACACACACACACAAATTAAATGAATAATAATATGTTTGCTGAAAATGATAGAACCTCAGGACAAATAGTTTAAATATATTTCTGTTGAAGGAGACCCAAAGACCTCCTCTCTTTTTATAAAAAACATTTATCAGTCTTTGGGCCACCCAAAAGAAAATCACAATTTCTTTAAAAATGTTTGCTACATTTCACAAGTTGTTAAATGCTCTGATGCATGAGAATAGTTTCTTGCTTCCACGGTATCTCCCTTATCAGGTTCCTCTGGGAGCTGCATTGTGTTTATATGACTTGACTTGTTATACCAATTGCTTTTGAAGGATTTTGTAACAAATTAAAATGTTAAAGAAATGAAAAATCTACTTGTTAACTCTCATATGGCCCCCTCTCTGATAGAATTTTTCTGTTTTGAAACAGAGTATGAACTTTATCAGAAATGCAAGATCATCCTTTGGCACCTAAGAAGTCCTTCATGCTTTGGGTGAGATGAAATAGTTTCCCCACTGATAGTGAGAATGAAGTCTCTGTTGAACTAGGAAGCTGATGACAGAACTCCTGAGCCTTGCTTTCCTGTACTCAAAGCTGCATCAGCTAACAAGAAGAACTAGCTGAAAGGCCAAGGTCATAAAGAACAGTCCAAGGGTTTTATTATATAAACCTATAAAAAAGGTATTTTTGAAGCATAAAATGAGTTTCAAAGAGCTCCACTGTCTAGATTATTACTATAAAGAAAAGATATCTCCTTTGACAAAATTGTTGTTTCAGTTCTTTCCCATCTGAAGTTAATGCTGATTCTGTACATTCTTCAGTTCTATCCATATCAAATTTATCTAATCATAGTCTTTGGTTTTGTGAATTTTTACTTCAGTGCTATTATTGCCATCAAAGATAGTTGTCTTTCTATATAACTTCTGACAACATTATTCTTCATTGGAAATATTTTATTTTTTCCATTTTTATATATCAAATGCTATCACACACTGTGTGTTACTATTTTGTGGAATATTTCTATATTTGTTATGAATTATAAATTAATTATGTCTCATAAAAGCACAGGAAAATTATGTAGCATTCCATGAGAAGTATGTTCCTAAGCAGGATTTCCCACAAATGAAAGTAGTTCAACAGTGATACTATACTTATTCTCTCAATAAATGTACATTTGCTGTAGGGTGGCATGGTGGACATTTGCCACTATATTTTCATATTTTATCATAGTAAGGAGAACTGGGTGCATGTATAAAGCAAGGACTTTCAGTAACTTAGCTTTTGAAGATGAAGAAATCTATATGGGAGTTCGTTACACTTTTCTATTACTTTTAAATTTCTCCTATATTTTAAAGACTATTTTAACATGTAACATTTAAGAAGAATGATAATTATAAATAGAATAAATATTTTTATACTAATTCTTGTTAATATTGTTATGATACTAAATCATAAATATAACTGTAGATTTTGACGTGTCTATGAATCAGTATGTCTATTTACTGCTCATTTCCTTCATAAGAAACAGAAGGTAGCAGAAAATAAACACAGAATTAGAACATAGATCTGTAAGTTTGTGTCAGTTAAAAGGTAGAAATTGAAAAAAAGTGTAATTAGTAACTTTATAGTTATATGTTCACCCAGGGGTGGGAGAGATAATCCCATGAGTAAGGTGTCAACACTGGGGACCTGGGTTTGATCCCCAGCACCCACATAAAAATCCCAACTTGGCAGTGTGCTTGTAACCCCACTGCGGCAAAGACAGAGATGTATGGGTCCATTTGGCTCTTGGGGCCAGGTACCATAGCCTATTTAAGGAGCTCCAAAGTTGGGAAAGATTGACTCAAAAATCAAGGAGGGCTACTCCTGAGGAATGACATCAGAGAGTGTCCCCTGATCACTGCTTCATTTACATATTTTGAGACTGAATCATTTCGCTGTCATACTTGGGCACATGTGTTTTATGTGCACACACAAATATACATGCATCAAAACATACATATGCACAAGACCAGAAAAACAGAAACCTGATGTGGGATGGCCCTCTGTATGCTCTCAATATATTTTATTACCATTGGTTAATAAGGAAGCGGTTTTGACCTATGGGGGGCAGAGTATAGATAACTAGGTAGGAAATCCAAGCAGAGAGACAGAGAGAAAGAAGGCAGAGTTGAGGAAATTCCAATAGCCACTGGAGGAATAAGATGCCAAGGCATTACTGGTAAGCCAAGTAAATGTGGTAATACGCAGATTATTAGAAACTGGAAAATTTATATGCAGAGTTAGCCAGGAAGAAGCCTGAGCCATTGACCAAACAAATATAATTAATATTAAGCTCCAAATGATTATTTTATAAGCAGCTGCAGGGACCAGAGCGCAGGAGAGAAACCAGTCCAGTGGCACTGGGTAGAACAGAGAACCATCTCCAGCTTTTGAACCTCACAAACTTAAGACAAGTGGTAAGTTAATCAATTGCTCTCTACAACAGAGCATGGACTAGGAAAATAATAATGCATTCTGGATTGTTGTTGTAGCAATCCAGGAAATAAGAAATTTCATGCTAGTACCATGGCATGTGTAACTAGAGTTTTCAAGCAGATTCAGTTCAGTTATGTCATATTTCTCTCGTTCATATGAGTTATCTATAACTCTCAGTTTTCTAGAAAATCAGATATGTTTTGTGAAAGCCTTGTATATGTGGTAAGATTTGGGGCACAAAGAACAGGTGACTAGGGATGTAGTTCAGCAGTAGAATTTTTGATTCAACACCCTACTTAAAAATAAGTCTTACCTAAATCTAAGTTGGTGTGGTGCAAATAACAAAACAGCAGAAAACTAGAGAGTAGGCATTTCGAATATCAGCAGAAGGCACATTTGAAGGAAAGATGACTCACAGGACAGCACTGGGCAACCCTGGTGTGAAACATTGTGAGTTAAAGATTGTGTTCAAAGTCCAGGGAGTTGGGAAACATAAATTCGGTATCTACGTGTTGCTGAAAGTTTTAGAGAGAATTGAAAGTAATACCGAATCACTATAAAATGAGCATGTTACTAGAAAGGAAAAGACATAATAAATACAAGTTACCTTTTCAATGTTAAATTTTTTAAAAGATATGCAGCCTGCAAAGCAGGGAGAGAAATACTCAACTTCGTCTCTTCCACACACAGAAGCATAGTCAGAGCTTGTGCAAGCACAGTGCTTATTACATGGAGCTTCGAGGTTTCCCAAGCGACCTGACCTGCGATGTTGAGATGAAATACAATTATAATACCATCATTTAAATCATTAATGCTGACGTTAAGATCTCAATCATATCCACAAACATCCTTATTGAAATATGTTCCTTTTCACAGGTTTGCTAGCTTATAAAAACATTATAAAATGCACATTTAGGAGGGTACCCCTTGATTGTCCTGGAGAGATGATTTAGCTCTTTGGAGCACTTCCTGCTCTTCCAGAGGACCAGTATTCCATTCCCAACATCCACAATGAAGCTCACAGTCATCTATAATTCCACTTCCAGGGAATCTGAAACCCTCTTAGGGTCTCTGCAGGCACCGGGCATGCAAGTGTTACATATACATCCCTGCAAGTGAATACTCATTCACACAAATAAAAGTAGCTAAATCTTAAAAACATATCACTTGATTTTTATTGTGTTATAGCAAACTTGTCACCAGAGTCATGTTGACAACAAAAGTCATCATTGCCTGCAATGGGTTGCCCCCCTTCCACACACATACTTCAAAGATTTCTACTACTCATATGTAATTCCTCTACTTATTGGTAATATCTCCTTGTCCATTTGTTCAGATTTTATAAAAAGCAATCACAAGAAACATATTTTCCTTGCTTCTTTTGCACAAATAATCTTTATGGACTCTTCTACGGACTTATGTTTTCATGACTCATATAAGTATTAAAAGTAGAATACTTAAATAGTATATAAGTTTTTATAGTAATTATTTTATATTTTACATGTGTGAATATTTTGCTTGAAGGTGTTTATTTGCACCATGTGAGTGTAGTGTGGCTCTACTTCTTCCTTGGGATCATTGGCTGCATTGGTCCTCAAGGGTAGTGGGAGCAGAAGCAGGGTACAGGATTGGGACAGCTGTGGGTACCACAAACACAGCAGAACTCCAGGAGATAGACTTTGGTGAATCAGCTCAACTTTATTCCAGAGTACAAGGAATGTGTTCAGTAGTACAGGACTAGGGAGTCTGGGCATGAACACAAATCTTAATTATCACCTGTGCACCAGGGAAGGCTTCTAGAAGGGATCTGTGCCAAGGGTCAAACTAAAGATAAATCAGGTGTCTGATTTAGACGCAGCTTTAAGATGAATTCGGTCCACAGGGCCCAGGGACATTCTCCAGATAAGGGTAGGTAGAGAGCAGGAAGTTTCACTGGGGAGCGCAGGCATCTCTAATGTCGTCTAGCTTTTGAAAAAAGCTGTCATGGCATGATAGATCACAATCTAGCGAGGTCTTCAAACATGAAAGAAAAATAAGTCATTAAATCTCTTGGGACTGATGTTACTGACAGTTCGGAGTCTCTATGTGCATACTGGGAACCAAACACTGATCCATTTTTCTAGCACCCTGCATTTTTTTTTTAACTTTTCAAGAAACAGCTTTCAAAGAGGTTTATTCCCATCTACTGCAAGCGGTATACAGATTGAGCTGTTCTCCACACTTCTCTATAACAGTATGATTTCACTGACTAGCCAGCCATTCTGATTGGGGAATAATAGTTTAGATTGTGTTTTTTGATTCACATTTCCTAATTTCTAATGATAGTGAATTTATTTCTAGCTGCACATTTTTCATCTGAATATGCATATATTCAGATATATATATATATATATATATCATTAGGTGAAAGTTGGTTTCAAATTATTTGTCTATTTTTCTTGTTATTAATAAAAACATAGAAGTATTTTTATCAGAAACAAATCTTTCTATATATTATTTTCTTTTTGTTTTTACACTTTGTGGCTTATTTTTTGTTTGTTTGTTTGTTGGAGTGGCATTTGAATAGTACTTTAATAAATAAAGATTGCCTGAAGATCAGCCTACAGACCAGATAGTTATGACACGCACCTTTATTCCCAGTAGCCATACTAGTTTGCCATAGAAACTGGGCCATGCATGCCTTTAAGCCCAGTGGTGCACACCTTTAATCCCAACCCTAGAGAGGAATATAAAATAGGAGGAAACAGCTCTCAGACACAGTCTCATTCTGAGATTCCTGAAGGTAGGATCACTTTTTTCAAACTGAGATTAAGGTTAAGCGCCAGTAGCTGGCTGCTTTACTTTTTGGATCTTCAGGTTGAAGTTCAATTTCTCTATCGGAGTTTTTATTGTGCTTCAATTTGTTGTTTTGTTTTTAATGTCCTTGAAAGCCAGGCATGATGGTGAACAATTGTAATTCCAAGAGTTTGGAGGCAGAAGCAGGTGGATCTCTAAATTTGAGTCCAGCTTAATCTACATAGTGAGTTCAAAACAGCCAGTTATACATAGTGAGATGCTTCTCAATAAACCAACAACCACAACAAGCAGAAAAAGTTTTTTAAAAGTCAGATTTAATTTTTTATGAAATCCGTTTGGCAAATTTCTTCCTAGATTATGAGTTTTGTGTTATGTGAAAGAAATTCTTCCCAAATTCAAGATCAAAAAGATTTTCCTTAAAGTCTTAGAATATTGCATTTTACGTTTGTACTCACGGTTCATTTTGAATGAACCCTTATACCAAATTGACAGAACACAAGCCAGAAATTCCAGGGAAAAATATTTCATATTTAGTGATAACCATCTTACTATATCACTTTTTAAAATATGTCCTCACAAGCAGTATTGAGCACTGGACACTTCTTATGGGAAAACTAATGTGATTCATGGACACTTCATCTTACTTTTCGCAACTAAACCTAATGATATCTCCAAAGGTCCAACTGACATTATAAGAGAAATTGAATCCATCAATATGTAAATAATGGGGCAGATTAAAAACATTCAAACCATACAATTCTTTCTTTTCCTTTATTGTCATTCATTTTACATTCCAACCTCAGTTCTCCCTTCCACCCCTCCTTCTACTCTCCCTCCCCTCCCCTGTCCCACCATCCCACCCTCCATCTACTCCTCCTGAAAGATATGGCTGCCCGTGGAGAGTCAACAAAGCCTGGCACATTAAGTTGAGGAAAGACCAAACCCCTTCCCTGCATCAAGCCTGAGTGTGGCATCCCACCACATTTTTGGAGGGAATGGACTCCAAAAAGCTAGCTCATTTACCAGGGATAGATCCTGGTTCCACTGACAGGGACCCCTCAGATAGCCTGAGCTACACAACTGTCTCCCACATGCAGAGGGTCAGGCTGACCTTGGGTTCTGGGAATTCAGACAAAATGAAAGGAGGAATTATATGAGCAAGGGAGGTCAAGATCATAAAGGGGTAGTCTCCAGAGACTTCTCAACCAAGCTTGTGGGAACTCAAGAACTCTAAACTGACAGCTGTGGATCCTGCATGACATATCACAACTTTTAAGTATAGAGTTAGCTGTAGTAACTCAAAATCCATAATGAAGTACAAATCTTCAAATTTGAATTTCTTATAAGAACCTTTACTTAAAAATGTACATCCTGTATTTGAAATAAAAGCATTATTGATTAACATCTAATATACTCATTTAAAATATACAATCCTGTTTTTAGTATATTTATGTATGTGAAGTTACCTTAGTAGTCAATTATTTGAGCCTTTTCTCATCTTCCTTTCTCCCTTTTGTTCTCATTTCTTTCTTCTTCTGTTTTTCTCCTTCCTTCCTTCGTTTCTTCCCTCCTTCCTTCCTTCCTTTATTTCTTCCCTCCTTCCTTTCTTCCTTTTTCTTTCTTCTTCTCTTCCTTTCAAATTTCTTCCTTCTCTCTTTTCTTCTGTGGGACAGATTTTTCCTCTACAGCCCAACCTATCCTAAACTCACTATATAGCCAAGGCTGACCTCCAACTCATGGCAATCCCCCCTCGGCCTCCTATGGGCTGTAGAACATTTTTATCACCTCAAAAAAAATAACAGATGATAAATTTCATCAAGTAATTTCTTTTTGGTTACCTTAAGAGTTTTTCCTTTTCATTTTTAGCTTGTTTAACATGATATATCAATTAATTTTTCTCTGTGAACATATTTTCATGATGATTCATGGTTGAATATAATTTATATAATCTTATAAATTCATAGATATGACTATATACAATGAAAATAAAGTAATTACCATATATACCACTTTAAGCATTTATCATTTCTTTGTATGTGGGAATACTCAAAGTTCCTTTTGCCAGTTATTTAAAAAGTATGTAGGAAATTATTAACCATTATCTTTTTGTCCTATACATTAGAAGTTATTTCTCATTTACAAATGCCTCCTTGAAGATATTTATCATCCTTTCTTCATCCACTGCTTATTCCCAAAACTACCTCAGCCTCTGGGAGACACTATTTTATGCACTTTGAACAGTGTTTTATAATTTTATTTTTATTTTTCTTTTTAAAAAAATTTATTTAGGCTGACCTGGAACTTACTATGTAATCACAATTTTTATTATAGTAATTTACTTCCTTGATTAAATTTACTCTTGGGGGGGCTGGAGAGATGGCTCAGTGGTTAAGAGCATTGCCTGCTCTTCCAAAGGTCCTGAGTTCAATTTCCGGCAACCACATGGTGGCTCACAACCATCTGTAATGAGGTCTGGTGCCCTCTTCTGGCCTGCAGGCATACACATAGACAAAAAATTGTATACAAAATAAATACATATTTTTAAAAAATTTACTCTTGGGAATTTTATTTTATTTGGTTTTTGTAACTACAGATAACAAGATTTCTTTTTCTCATAATTATCACAGGATGTTTTCAAGTATTGATGTAACATGACTGCATTTATTTCTTTTCTCCTAGACCTTTGCCACATATGTTGTCTGCTGTACTGGCTCTCTTTGATCTCTAAAATTAATTTAAATTTCTGTGTTCCTAGTTTAGTTGAAGAATGGGCAATTATTTATTTTTTTTCAAAGAAATAGTGTTGTGTTCAGGCAATCTTTTGGGATCTGGAGAAATGACTCGGCACTTAAGAAGACTTGTTGTTTTTCCTTCTAGAGGACCTAGGTTTAACTCCCAGGACCTAGGTCAGTATTTCACAAATGCCTATAATTCCAGCTTAGGTGAATCTGATGTGCTTGCTCAT